AAGCCCCCCCCCCCCCCCCACCAAAAATAAATAAAAATGAAAAATCAGATCTTATCTAAGGATGAAAACCTTTAAGATTGAACTCATACCTTGCTCCTGAAGTGCATGGGAAGCATTCAGCTTGGAATCAAGGTTAGTATGTGCTAGATAGGCTAATGGTTGCTGAAGAATTTGCTCCTCATCAACATAGTGAAAGATATCATTGAGGACAAAGTATCCTTTTTCCTGGGGTGCAAGGAAAAATGATTGTACAAACTTCCTACTCCTGTTGATACCTTTCACATTGACAGAACCTGAAACCATCACAAGGACACCACCATTCCATGATTCCAAGGAATGGAGCGTTTTTATCTCTATTCCAGTGTACTGGAGTGACATGACAAGGGTGTGAATTTGCTGCAGAACACAGAAAGAGCAATGAAAAAAAGTAGTAGAATGATTAATATTGGGGGCTAAAGGAGCAATACACATCATGAACCATGATTATTAGTTAGTTGAGAATAACAGAAGTTTTATTATATTGGAATAGTACTAATTATAGAAGTTGTTCAAAGATAAAATCTCCCTCTTTTGTGACTTAGAAATCTTTTACTTTTTTTTTTTTGATAACCGAGAAATCCGTCTGTGACCCGCCCTTTGGACCAATCACAGCCTTCTAAACTCGGTGGATAATGGGCCCGCCCCTCTACCCTTCTCCACTTAAATACCGGGCTTCGCTTTGCATGGTGTGGGGCTTGAACCTGCGACCTAAGCCACAAATTCTCCACCTTTTACTTTTATTAGTATATTAAAGCATGCAAGTATCAACTCACAGGTAGTAATCATTTTTTTTAAATAAAGTAACCCATTGGTAGTTATGATACTAAAAAGGAACTTGCGACAGCAGCAAAATAAGAAGCTCCTCTGATGGAAGTGCATGCCTTGGGGAACTTGACACTCTTTCAGGTTTCAACTTCTAGCGGACAGAGAAAAAACATTAATACAGCTGACTGGGGAGACAGAGAACTTGATGGACAAGCTTCAATTTTTGTTTTTCAGAAAAAATAACGTTTAACCTAAAAATCTAGAACATGGATGCTAAGGCTGCACTCATATGATATTTTTCCATATTAGGTGCTCTGTTTTAGAACAGGACTACATCATAGAAAAATTCAAAACTAATCTAGAACGTATGGACATCATATAGATGACATGACTGTAGACATGAGGTTCCAGTTAAGGACATGCATCTAGCAAGAGCGACCAATCATTGGTTAGCCAATTATAACCACTTAATTTAGAAATAACTTCACAGAAGATTTTGCTCATAAGGAAGTTAGACAAGGAACTTAAGATAAAATACCAGCATTCCTGAAGCAGTCTCTCTGGTGCTGGAATCAATTCGAAGCACGGTACTAGCATCACTGTAGAACTGGTGAACAAAATCCGGTTGGGTCTGCAACATCTGATAATACTGGCCCACAAAGTATGTCCCCACCTGAATCATTACCCAAAACCGCAGAAAGATGAAATTCAAATCCCAGACGTTAAATATCAATCAATCAATCAACACTTCAATCCTAAATTAGTTGGGATCGGCAATATGAGTTCTTTATATATTCCCCTCTATTTAGACTCATTTCATTGTAACACTTATAAGTAATTTGACTTCTAAAGAAAAAGAAGGGTTCTATACGGAATAAAGGATCTCTAACCTAATCTAATGTAAGTGAAGTGATAACAACTAACCTAAATAGGTTAGTCCTAATTACTACATAGCTAATAGTTTTTTGGATCATTTATCCTTAACTAGCTGGTAGTGTCTATATATATCGTTTGTTTCTATTGTGCTATATGCTTAATTAAGTTTGCATTGATTACTAGATTCAGAAGCTCTTTTCTCAGAAAACCTGTCCCCATTTAGGACATTTAATCACTACACCATCACAACTACATACATATGCATTTATAGGGAAATAAACACCAAAAAAAAGTTTCCTCTAGTAGTTCCTATATCTCTTAAAACTGAATATACACACGCATATCCATAAAGACTTTTTCTTGAAACAGGTAACATCATATACATAAAAAGTTCATCTTTATACTACAGAACTGTTTTTTGGAACGAAAGATTTCAGCTTTACACTAAAAAAAATTTACATTTCCAAATCACTTAATACCCAATTCGACACGGTAAGGTAACTAGCAAAACAGGGTAAATGACCATGGCCAGAAACCAGGTAAGGCAAAGGGGTTTCATCCAAAAATCCATTCATATATATAACCACAGATATAAAAAAAAAAAAGCATTCCTCGCTCCATTTACAAATGACTAAACAGACGTGGAAGAAACAGCAAAAACACAAGTTTGCCCTCACATTTCTACTCAACTTCTCTGTAAATGACTTACACAAACAAGGAATAAACGGATAAAGACTCTTTTTTATAGCAGAAGAGATACCTGAGCAGCAGTGACTGGCAAGTGAAAAGGCGTCGCCATTTCGTAAAACCCGGTGGCGGCGGCAGCAGCTTAAGCAGCGGTAGAAATGAACTCGTCAATCCAATTAGAATGAGAATCTAAAAAACCTAGATCTAACAAAAG